ATTTTCTTCAAACCTGAAGAATGAAGGCGGTAGCATTTTCTTCACAATATTTTAGAAATTGCGCCACTGAAGGCGTTGTCGACACCGTGAGGAGCGGCATTCATTTTCAGGAGTAGCAGAGAGAAAGAGATCCTGCTTTCTTCGTCCGTTTCTCTTTTATTTGTTTCGTAATTAATTCTCGTTGCCGACGACGCGGCGGCGTACTGTCGCTTCTCCCGATAAACACGCACACATGCGCACCTGCGCAATGCGCACCTTCAAAGGAATACACCATATGTACGACCGAGTGCATTCATCCACATTATAGGTGACGAGGTTCCCCTTATGAGGTGCTTTGAAGTGATGCAAAACTATCGATAAATTGACTATCGATACTATCTATAGCTTTTCTAAAACTATCGATAGTCGAATATCGATAGTACTATCGATAGTGAGTTTTCGATAGTCGATTATCGATAAAAATATCGATAGTTTTTTTTTTTATCGATAGTCAGATTTCTGGCAACTATCAATACTATAGATAGTATTATCGATACTTTTGCACCCCTAGATTTCTCGCAGACCACCGGAAAAGCCGGCGGTATTTTTTTTTTCCGTTGTAAACAGCGGGTGTAGGCAATTTAGGACTTTGCTGGTCTTTTGTTAGAAGTTTGAACCCGTCGCGACGTTTTCCTTTCTTTTGAACTTTGGCAGATGGTTTTGTTTATTGCTGCTTGCCATTTTAATTTTTCCGTCCTTCTCAAAACGCGGGTTTGGTCCAAAAAAAAAAAAAAACTATCGGGTGATATTGCAATGAATGCACGCCGTTCACTCTTGTTCGTATTAGACTGGTAGCAGCTGACAAAATCCGTTTGCTTAACTGACGTCTAACTCCTGGTTAGCTCAGGTGGTAGAGCGCTCCACTTGTAATGGAGAGGTCCCGGGTTCGGTACCAGGACCAGGCGGATTTTTTCGGTCGCTCACCGTTCACTTACTTTAGTGACCCCCGCACTTGGCGACAGCTCTCGCTGTAGCCTCAATGGATTTTAACAATTGAAATCCTCATCAATTATATACGTCCTCGTGCGGTCGAACATTTCTGACTGCCTCTTTTGTATAGAGAGAGAGAGAGTGTGTGTGTGTGTGTCTGTGTCTGTGTGTGTGCGTGCGTGTTATTGCCTGTCGTGTTTAAAAAGGGGAAAAGGGGGAAGGAATACGTGCAAGGTGTAGATGACTCTCGACAAAAATAAAAACGGAGATGAGAGGCGATTTTACCAGAAGATATTAGAAACCTAGAACTTTATGACACTCCTTATTGAGTAAGGACTTCAATTTAAACAATCTCCTAAATTATTAAATAACATAAAAATATTTGGCACTTTCACCGCACCCACTTATTATCCCAGCAAACGTTACTAAAATAGCAGTTTACAAACCTCCCTCACTTGTTCGCGCATAAAATATACAGGGAGAATCTGAAGGCGGCCAGACTTAAATTGAGCGCCAACTCGACTTTTTAAACTAATTCCGGTGTAATTAGGTACACAGGTATAGCAAGGTGGACTTTGTTCCGTTAAAATATAGAAGTGTGATTTGTTCACTTGGTAAAGGAGCATAAAGACAAAAATATGCCTTTTCTATACTTCGATCGCGTGTAAACAACAAATCATTTTTGGGTCACTGCAGTGTTTATTTTGACAAATTGAAAAGGATACCTAAGTAAATTTTGCTTATTTTCTATTATATCTTTTTTGCATTCTTTGTAAACGCCACAATGGCCTAATATGCCAATTGATGATTTCGCACAAAAAGGCTCAGCATAGATTCGTTAATAGGCAAAAAGCAATCTTCAGTTTTTGGGGTTTTTTTTCTACTTGAGGAACCGTATATTTTCATTCAATGAATGCACAATGCTGTACTTCATTTTCACTGTGATCGGTGGATCTTCTATTTCTACCTTGTACTTGAGACCAATTGTTCCAAGACCTTTTCCTAAAAGAAATTGGATTGTGGGTATATTTATACAGCCTAGAACTAAGTCTGCCTCAACGGGCGACTTATGTCCCAGCTGTTGATGAGAAATTTGTCCAGTGCAGTACAATCGGTAGCCTGGGACCTTTGACGTGCACCACGCAGCAGTGATACACGACCGCACGCCGGTATGATGTTCATCCAGATCGAAACGGGTAGGGTTGGGGAATGAACCCAGGATCCCTGGGTAGAGTGTACTAGAAAGGACGAGTGAGGCGAGCGGAGTGCTATTTCTGCACCTCCGCATGTGGAAAAAATGGCTAATCCAAGCTACTCCGCTCGTAGCGCCCTCTTGGGCGCTACAAGGGAAGTGGCTCAAATTAGCCGGTTGTTTTTTTGGTTTTTTTTTTTATGAAAAACGCGTTGCGTTCCAACGCCAAGTTCGACCGGCGCACTGGTCAAGGTCATAGAAACAATAAAACGCCCGGCTATATTTTTTATACAACCTATACGTCAGTCGTCACGTCCATACAAACGTCACTGCGACCTCACTTGTCATCACCAAGCCATGCACATCACGACGACGCATTGACGTCAACGTCGTCATTGACGTTGACGACGCGCGTTACATGACATCAAGACTGTGTTCTGACGTCATATTCCCTTGACAACGACGTTGACGACGACGACGACGACGACGTCACGCGACGTCAAGATGACGGCGTCCTTGTCAATGCGACGTCATGAAGACGCTTGGTGTCAGATCGTCGACGTTCGTTGTCGGCATGACGCAACTCGACGTCCCGACAACTTCACGACGTCGACGTCATCGTCGATGACAACGACGGCACTACACGACGTCAAGACTTCATAGTGAGGGCGCGTCAACGTTGATGTTGGCGAAGACGACGACGTTACATGCCGTCAAGGTTTCGTCGTGACGTCGTTGTGACGTTGGCGTTGACGACGAAGTCATGACCACGTTAACATGACGTAATAGCGATGTTTGACATTGCGTGGGGCGTCGACGCCAACATCAGAATCGACGATCAAATCCACGCACACGTCGTACTCGATGCCGCGCGTCGTCACGACCGCGTTACAACGGCGACTTGTTGTTGTCGCGTAACGGCGTCGTCCTCGACGCGATGCGATGTCACGACGGCCTTACGACGGCATCTTGGCATCGCGTAACGTCGTGGTCGATGATGACGTCGTGGCGTTGTCGTAACGTCACGTCGTTGTGACGTGGTTTTTTGACGTTAACTCTGACGCCAAAACCATAACAAAATACAATATGGCCCCTATATTGCCCATATGACCTTGACCTGTGTCGTCGCTCGCTTCGATCGCAGCGAAGGTGGCGCTGCGATCGAAGTGGCTTCCACCGAATCGCTTTCTACATTTTAAGGGAACTGAAAGCATGAGCGGAGCCTGTAGCTCGCCCCACTCAGTCGTTTCTAGTTTACTCTACCCTGAGTTCTGCAGGGAGAGCTTTCGCTCCACATGCCCCGAGCTCGTGTGCGCTCACCCACTCGGCCACCGATATTTTTCTTTCTTTCTTTATTGCCTGCCTCCCCCGACCATTTTCTTCTACACCCGCTTAAAATGATACAGAACAAAGTACTACGAATGTACGCTGCTAGCTATAATCAGGTATAGCATGTTGTCACAAATGTCCAACACTCCGATCATGATAACGAGTTGAGCGAGCAGACTGAACTTCGGAAAGATTCCAACCCGGCAGCAGAAATGTGTTTTTCACTCACCCTAATACCACGGTGCCCTAACACCAAACTTCGACGCAAAATAAAAAAGAAAAAAAGAAAGCTCTGGAGAAGCTTAAATTTTTAACCCCCCCCCCCCCCCCTCTTTCCCGGGTCGGTGCGCCACTGATTATACCTAAACAAAATTCGAAAAAAAAAAATCAAAAAGTGAATTTTTGAGAAACTTAATTTGAAACTTGAAACTTTTGTTATTTCATACACCGTTTATACGACGATAGCGAAATGGCTTTTTGTCAAATCTAAATTATAATATTATATCTATATTCAGCTTGTTTCGGGCTTTTTTATACATCTACAAAAATAAAATTTACTTTAAGTTTAACCAACATAGCGACCTATCAAAGTTGACCAAGCATCACTCTAAAAGGGGAGTTTCACATGTTGTGTCTTAATGGTACTCACTAAAGAATAGGAAATCATTTTAGGAGGTAAAGAAAAAATATCTGTAACGGAAGGCGTCAAATATAACACCTGCGACGGCAGGGAAAACGCTAATATACGCCGCAGCATCTTCTACGCCCCATAACTAGAGAACACTAAATACGGGGAACTTGCGGTTTGTGTCCTCCTTCTTTTTAGAAATGTTCTCGAAACTTTTTGTTTTTTCGTAAAACTACAAACAAAAACCTTAGGCACATTTACCATACCCGATTTTAGATGAAATCACTCATGTGTATATATCTCAAACTCTTTTACCATAGTATATCGCAAAATCAAAATACCCAAGAGTTCGCATTACAGAGAAGCCGTAAATGTCTGTAATTTTTATTCTTTCTTTCTTCGGGCATTGTCTACAACGCTCCCCGTATATACCTGCACTTGCGTCTTGGAGAACATTCTCTCGGTTAATCACATCACCATACTTTGTACTTATTTCAACGTGACTTCCTTTTTTTTTTTGTGCGTGTGTGCTTTCGTTTATTTTACGTGAGGCTCATTTTTGTGGCGGTAATTCTATAGAAATACATCTTTTTTTCTTTCTTTCTTTCTTATGCATAAGGTTAATTTCATATAAATAAACATTATCGAATGGTAAAACTATAATCAGCCCAGGGATATTTCGACGGTTCGTGTGTATCTTCACGGTGCGTCTGTATGCTGCATTTTTTGTGCACTGAAGAAGAAGGAAAAAAGATCTCCCTAGTGGTTTGGGGAAAAGTAGACGATCCAAATTTCTTAAAGTGCGCGCGTCCCTAAAACCGAGGCGCAAAAAAAAAAAAAAGAAGAAAGAAAAGCGAAAAGGGCGAGAAGTGTTGTTCTGACCTCTGAGGAGGTGAGGTAGATGCGTGAGTCGGTGCTCTCGACGGATGCCTGCGCGAACAGGGCGTGGTTGCTTTCCACGCTCAGCGAAGACGCCGCCTGGGATAGCAGCGTGGAGCGCCGAGACAGCGAAGACGAAGACGCCGCCGCCGCCATCGCTGCTAGTCCACCCGCCTTGCCGGATTGCGCCAGGCCTAAGAAGAGCCCCCCGCGAGAGAGAGGCGCGACATTGCCGAAAACGTCGCCCAAAACAAAACAAAAATACGGAGGAGACGCAGAGAAGTGAGCGCCCCAAGCCAGGAGACGGGGTCCAAGTCAGAGTCGAAGACGGCGTCGTGGCGGGGGCGGTTCAGGTGGAGAGCCACGGGCGCAGCAACAGCAACGGCAGCAGCGATGTCAGGGGAAAGAAAAAGAGAATTGGAGCATTGATGTCAGGACAGAGATATACAAAGATAATCGAGGGATGGGATGCGACGAGGGGGACATAAGGAAAAACGTACAATAAACCACATTTTGGATATGCGGGTGTTATTTCTTACGAATAATGAGTGCAACTGCATTCCACGGAGACCATAGGATGTCGTATATCGACAATTTTAGTATTATTATTATCAATTTTATTTGTCGAAGAGCTCGCGTTTACAGTTAAGGCTAGCTCACGCGCGCAACGCAGCACTGAGATAACAAAGTCAGCGCTTATACAACGCTGATATGGCGCGAAGTCTGTGTCGTGTCTATCGCGCTGCAATAGTTCAGCGCTGTGCGAGCACTGGAGAGAACGTTCACTTTTTAGACAGATGAACCAAACAAAAACACAAATATTTTTAAAAAATAAAAAGATAAAATACAAAACAGTAGATTAAAACCATGTTTACTAATAAAACATGTCATAAACAGAGTTTTGGAAGCACTCAAACTGCCAGAAAATTCAGCTGCAAACATCGAAAAAAACCAAGAAGTGAAAACTTCGTTTCTAAGAATGGACATACACTACGAGCCAATTTGCAAATTGCAATGACACGACTCCTTTACACTAACCGTGCTACTTAAAAATAGGGAAAGCTGTGTCTCCTTTGTAGACAAAGAATTTGACCAGTTCTGCAGGACAGCTCGCATATGGTTTCAAACATGCTTCGCTGCTTTGCGATTACACGAATGCACGTCACCGACAATTTAAGAATTGTGAGGTGCGGCCTATATTATAAATACGTATATGACCGCGATTCTTGCGCCGTGATTCGTTTGCTTGCCGTTCCTCTCAACTAACGATGCGATCTCATTCAATGTGGAGCAAAAATAGGCTTCCCAGAACTCGCCACAAAACCCTGCATTTATTGCGCTGTCTGCCACCATAGTGGCCACAATTTATGTTCCCGCGTTCTGCGCAGCCCGAACAAAGCACTGCACAGCCCCAACCCACTTCTACCCTCCACGTCACCACGAGAAACGTCGTCCACGGGAGGGGAGCCGCCGTCGACGACCCGATGATGACGACCGCACTTTCAACCACCCCAACCGCGAAGAAAAATCTCTCCATCCGGCAAATTACCGCACCCCAGTATGACGACCGCAAAACGTCGCCCCGAGGCGCGCTGCGACGACCATCACGTCGCCTCCACGCGGGTTGCCGCCGCCGACACGAAGTCACCTGACCCCGAGAACCGGGAGGGACGGTGCTCGCCGCCGAGTCGACGTGCGCGCGGCGACGACGATGCCGCCGATGGAGAGCGCGTGTTCATTCCGCCGGGAGGCTTCCCGACCTCGGCGGACTCCTGGGGCTCATTAACCGAGAAGAGCCCGGGCGTAGCGACCACGCGACCACCGCTGATTAATGAAGCGGGGGAGGGAAGGCGGCGGCGTCGGCAGTACACCACAGGGAACGCGTGTGTGCGTGCTCGTGTGTGTGTCTGTGTGAGATTATCGTGAATGTGCCTGCGCGAGTGTGTATGTTTGAGGGTGCGTGCGTAAGGAAGTGTGTGCGTGTGCGTACACGTGCGTGTGAGCGTGCGTGCGTACGTGCATGTGTATGGGAAAAGGGAGCGGGGTAGGTTCCTCCCTAAATTGCTTCTTGCAGCTAAGACCACTTTTTCTCTGGTTGGCTGGTTGCAGAGCTGGCGCGCTGCTTTTAGCCACTTTCCGAGTGACTGCTGCTGCTTCCCGCGCCCCAGCTCAACTTTCTCGTCGACAATGTCACCTTTAATTTTGAGAGTCTCGAGGGGCGTTCCCCATCTTTCCCTAATCCGCCTTTTTTTTTTTTTTTGTGCGTATAAGGAAAGGAAGGGGGAAGGGGCAGAGAAGAAGAAAAAAAGCAGCAATGTATGTGCTGTGGTAGTTTTGATGACCACCACTAATTCAAGTTAAGGAAAAATTATGATTCCTACTAATTCTATTTCTCATTTTCTCTTCTTCTTTTTTTTTTTTTGCTGACGTTGCTTTAGGCAACGAGAGAGCAACCGTGAATTCATTTTCTCAGATGATTATGCCTTTCCTCTACTTTTTCTTTTTTGACTACCTTTCCTTGCGGGGTTTGTTTACCATCATCGTTACTATTATTTCGTCGTTGTTATTAATGCGAAAGCATTAACTGTCCCATGGAGCGAGCTGACGTCATCAGTTTGAAGCTCGAAAACGGCACCTAGTTTCTGCGATTTCGCTTTCGGTTCCATTGGCTGGCGCGCGTCGACGGGGCTTCCGTCAGCCGCTGCGCTCGTCAGTTTCCACGAAGGCTCACCCCATGTCGCTGTTAACACGGTTAACATGTCGCTGTTAACAGCCCGCCGTTAACACGGAGCGTCCTAGCTTCCTAGGTCAGAGCGGCGAGGAGAGGGCGCGCTGACCGGCGACGAAAAGTACGCAGCAGACGAAAAGGGGAGTGGACGAGCGACTTGCATGCTTTCGCATTCACAACTCATGAGAAGTGCTTAGGTGTACATCGAGCTTTTTTTCTTCAAACATAGCTGTACGGTAGAGAATAAAACAATGTGTGAGCTTGTCGAAAGTCTTCTACTTTCGAGAGGTAAACTTCGGGTCATAGTGCACTTTATGTGTACAACGTGTGTTTCGGAAGTCCTTCATCCGTACTTGGCCTACATGTCGCTTACTGCAAACAGTTTTTTTTTTTTTTTTACAAAGAATGAAAGGCAAGGTTTAGATCCTATTCTTTGAACTTTTTGACAACTAGCGAGATAATCCCGTTTGTGGGAACGCAGACGTAAAAAAAGATGCGGATTGATTGTTGTAGCTCCTTTTGGCGGCGGGGGTACAGACCAATTCAATATTATCATATTCATTACATCTCGCGATAAAAAAACCTGTCCTCAGTATAATCATTCGTGCAACCAAGTTGTTGCTTTTACTTTGGTTGCGACGATCACGGTCGTCAGCCTTCAAACGACGCCCAACCTGGAAAAATCATACTTATATGCCTGCTTCTCTCGACCAGGCGGCGCTGTAGAGTTCACGAAACGCGACTATTTAATGCTAGCGCGAAGTGGCGTCATAGCGTCGCCTCATGCACAATCCACGGCGTAAACTAGCGTATGTCAGCGTCCCTCACCGTCCATACAAGGACACTAACAGTGCGTTTGAAGGGACGCAACGCGACGCACAACAACAGAAACGCGACCTAAACATATCCTATAACGCTCGCCAGGGGCGCTGCTTAAAACTTGAGAGCTATCGGGAGCCTAGATTTAAGAGAGGAAGCAACTCAATACATGGACAGCGTTTGCAATATAATGACGAACTTCTCCTGCTCATATTCTGTGCTAGTGCGCATGCGTCAGTTGCCACGTGAAACGCGGGAGAGTCGGTGGAAAGGCTGCGCAGAGCCTGCAGACTCTTGCAGACGATTCATGCGTTCGGCTCCTCCTTGTAGCTTGTGTCACAAACGCCGTTCATAAATCACGTGACCCTGATCGAACAGTTGGAAACACTCTGAAATCTAGGCAGCTACAGGTATGTTGGAAAACTTGAAGGACAGGGGCGTTTAAAGATGGCGACTTTTATTTCTGCGTTGTTTTTTTTTTTTTTTAGAGCTGGAAATTGAACTGCATGTAGTTTTTTTTTTTTTTTTTGTGGGTGTGTGTGCTGCACACATGTCAATGTGAGGGCCCGCGGCTCCTTCGAGTTGTCCTTGTGACAGCTTTTTTCGCACGCCTCTATTATTATGTACTTTGTGCTTGATGAAAAAAACCACATCAAAGAGGACGGGCAACTCACGCTGTTCGAGCAGTCCCCGGAAGCCATGTAAACTCGGTTGTGTCTTAAGCGCATGTTCCTCCTTTCGGATGGCCTCCAACTCCACGTGGACTTCTCGCATCAGGGCCACTGCATTCCGCGACCACAAAAAAAAAAAAACAAAAAAACGAAGGGCGAGGATGGAGGACAAAAAAGAAAAGAAAGAGAGAAAGAAAGAAACAGCTCAGTCACGTGAACGAACAAACAAACGCTTTATGTAGCCTCGTGCAGCAAGCCACAAGACATACGCGGTAAAGATGCGACAGAGGTGAAATCGCCTCATGATGGAACCACGAGCGCTAGGCTTCAGCGCGGATCGACCGAAGTCATCGTTATGAGGCGCGCCGTATCATCGAGCAATTTCGGGAAAGCAGGCGTTGCGAAGGCGCTCCGTTGTCAAAGCATCATGCAAAATCATCATGTATCCCCTATCCTCTTGAGAAACAAAACAACGTACGAAGTTTCGATACAAAAGGATCTTATCACTTCGGGGCCTATTCAGATGTGGTTTCCAGGACAAACAACTTTTTTTGTTGTTTTAGAGGGGCACAGCTTGTTCTTGGTAGGCACTGTATAGACAAGAACGCAAGACATCCTTCCAAAAAATGCACCTGCTTTTAAGTGTTACCTGGAGTTTGTGTATCTTTAGTAGTTTGTTTAGAAATAAACAATAAAAGGACCAACTAACAATGACCCATAACATTTGTCCCAGTCTGTGGTTAATTAACGTTCAACGAGTCTCATTTAGCCGACCGGCGAATCAAAACCAATTAACCGCGTGGCGCCTGGTTTTTCTATTTAAATTAGGAATCCAAAATATACGCCTGTGAAACTTATTATATTACTTGTATTTAATTTAGAAAGTATTATTGTCGTAAATTTATGAAGCTATGCAACCGCAGAAATACGGAGCATTAGTGTCGACTAAACCATTACATTCGGGTCGATTGGGCGTTAAGCTGCGAGTTCATCCCACCCAAACACAAAAGTATTCAGAAATGTATCTGTTTGATGACAGAATTCCCATTTTATCAGCGAATACCCTCCCCATTATTTCGCGTAACCAATAATATTTATAGACAAAATAGTGACATAATCCGGTAAAAAAAAAAGCCGAAGTTCAACTTCACGCGTACTTCCTACTTTGCTTTACAATAAGTAGAACCCACTAATAATTCATAAAACATACTAAATAAAGCGAAACGCGGCGATCAGTTATGCACCTAGGCACGTAAAGAAGCATTCGTTTTAGCATACCCTCATCTAAAAAGATGTCCAATCCCACAAACACTTGCCCACTATCGAGGCGCGCGAGTTTGTTTAAGCGAGTCTCAGTCTTTATTTTAAACACGGCTCTCAAATTACGTGCACGAGCAAGCAGAGACACAAAAATAGGCATAAATAAATGGGGGAGGGGGCATACAAAGAACAAAATACATTCCGTTCTCCTTGCCGCCACATTACCTGGAAAAGAAGCCTACGACGCGCGCGTATACGTGCGTACGTGCACAGGAGCGGGGACGACATAACCTGGTTAGCTTTCCGACCGACATACCGATCCAGCGAACCAACAAGCCAACATCTCGCTATGATCGAACAAACCCGGTTTGGGTTCCGCTCGTCCCTCGTTCACCGTGAAAGCTCACTAACGTGATTAGCCGACGAAATAAGCGAAAGCGCGTCGAGCGGGGGATTGGAAGCAGCCTCAGCGTCCCTTAGTGTTGATTAACGCCGACGTTACTAGATCAACCCAGTCACGGAACTGTCCATAGACGCTGCTTCCACGAGCAGTACACCCCCCCCCCCCCTCCCCCCCTCCGCCCTCGCCCGAAGATTCGCCGCCTCCGATCGTCCGACGCGCCACTATTTCTTAGGGATGGCTTCTACAGTAACAACAGTGTACTCTATAGAATACACCGGTTTTGAGGCACAAAGCATAGATGGCGCTTCGCGGTATCGGATCCGAAAATTCAGTTTTTGAAAAACAACTTTTGGATGGCGCTTCGAACGATGGATGGTTTACTTTGGGTGGAGGAGGGGGAGGGGGGGTTGAGGGTTATTTCTTTTTTAGAGTATTACAGCAAATGTGCAGTGGTGCCCCCGAAAATGGTTTCCGGCAGTTGTTTTCACCGCTAAAAATAAATATGCATCGCCAAACGCTCGGTCTCGGCTCAAATGTAGCCCTAGTGGCCCAGACCAGGTGCCACGGTTTGCGTTACTTTATTCCAAAGTTAAAAGCGTTTTTCTGAAACTTACATTGGAAAAATGGGGTCCGTTCCCGGTTGATGACACCATTCATCCGCATCTATTTGTGAATTTCGTCGGCCATCGTTCTTTTATTAAACAATTTCCGAAAAGTGTTCTCAGCTTTCGAATAAAATAACGGATAGTTCTGAAACTTTGGCCCCTGGTCAACAGACCACTAGTACTACCTTTGCGTGAGCGATGAGAGTTCGGCTATACATAATTAATTTTTCCGGTGAAAAAAAAAAGAATTGCTTTTTGGGGACACCCTGTAGTAAAGATGGTTAACGCCGTCTGACATCGCTTTAACGAGCGAGAGGAAAAATGAGAGGTGAATTAAACGTGCTTGCGTGCGCGAGAGGAAGCATTCGTTCCCCTAAAAACAAAAACAAAAAAAAAGGAAGAGCAAAGCAGGGGTTTCGTACAGAAGAGATCAAAACAAAAAGCAAATGACTGACGACACGCACCTTTTTCCATGCTCTCCCTGTTTCGGTAGGCGGGAGCTACACGAGCGAGGCAGAAAGACACGGAATTAGTCAAGCCGCCCGCCGGTGCCAATTGGGTCCGCGACGCTCGTGGAAAAAACTCCTCCTCACCCCTTCCCTAATTTTCGCGTCCTTGTGAGCGACCCACGGGAGTGAAACTAGAGGAGATAACGCTCGGATAAAAAAAGAAATTCATATATGTATAATTATAACAACCAGTTTTTTTGTTGTTTTTTTTTCCAAAATATTGCGCTGAGTAGCTAAATTGCAATGAATTATTTGATTGTTGTTGTTTGACTACTTCACGCGTACGTTGCATCTTTTTCAACGATGAAAAGTACTAAGTTTTCTCTACTTCTACCATCCTTGACACCACTCTAAAACGGGTCAATATTTGTTTTTCAACTCAATTGTTAAAGAGTTAACAAGTATAGGGTGCACAAGGAATGTAAATATGCAGATGTCTGCACTTGACACAGCAGGAACACATTCACTAGTGATACAGAAAGGTCTCACTGGTGAATGTGTTCCCTTAAAGAAGGCGGTGGTAGGACCATAAATTGGTTGAACGGGAACGTTCGGTTTTGCAGCTTAGACAAATCACATTCGTCTGTGCTTGCATCGAGATAATAGGGCCTTCCGCACTAACCTCATGTACTCTACTTTCTCAGAAAGGACTGCATGCCCACTGACACATGATGCGCTTGCAGCATTATTAATTGATTCCATTTAATTAGCTTCTAGGGTTGAACGGAGCGGGCGCTATCGTGCTTCAATGACTCTAGGCGCTCTTAGCGGCAAAACAGCTGGCTGCATTTTAGCCGTAATACGTACATGGTCGGTGGAGCGCTATACCACTGCTCAATAACGAATGTACCAAAAAAATTTAAATATTTAAAGCTCCGATTGCACCGCGGTGCATTACGCATGAAGCTCTCCTGGAAGCGTGAATTCAAGTCTCTGATACCGAGCATGAAGTCTCACGTTCTCTTATTATGCTCATTGACCCAGCGCTAAGCGCTTCTATTCTTGCTGGAGTTTCTACGGCTGAGCTTCCTGTGTCCTTAAAAAGACTGATTATCCGCAGCATCTCCCAATAAAAAGATTTCAAAAAACAATCCCCAAGTGATTAACGCCAACCTGATTAACTGTGCCATCCCTCCCTGGGGTCCTGGACAACTTCGGGAGCAACAAGGATCGAATACGGCCCTCTGTATTCTCTCCTCCGTGTCCGTCTTTGTGTTTAATCGTCCACTGAGTCCAGGAAAAATTGACCTTTTTCTTCTTTTCTTTCTTACAACCGAAACCACAAACCGAAAGTGACCACGTTAACAAAAAAAGAGTTTTTTTTTTTCATTCATTCTATTAATTTTGTTTAGTCACAGTAAGCTACAAAAAACTGCGACAACAGACCATCTCGCACAACAACAACAAAACAACGGAGAGTGCGCAAAACGGTTTTTAGTAGGTTTGGCTTTTCAAGAAAGGAATACATAATTAAACAAAACGATTGTATCATGTTGTTCTTCTGGGACTCGCGATCCTCTGTTAATTATATGCCCAACAGTAATATATAGTACACGGCAAGTGCAGCCCCTATTGGGTGATTCCACGAGAGATCGAACCTGCAGGTCCACTCAACATTTTTTATATTTTTTTGTTTTATACGTCATGCACACACAAATGAATTGCACGAAACTGAACTTCTTTTTTCTCGAAAACGCAATTTCACTACGAGAAAAAACAATGTTTCATGATTACGCGACGGCCCTGCTCGGCCCTGCTCCCACCGCGGACTGCGTTAGTCGCCACATTTGCGGTCCTGTGCAAGGCAGGCAAAGAGTGTTTGGCCAAAACTGTTTCCTGTTTCATGTAGTACACTAAAGTTTTAGTCAACTGCATGCGATTAGTATGTCCTTTATGAATTAAAATATAAATGCAAAATTTATAACTTTCGACCAGGCGCAACAAATACACTAACTTTTAGGCCTTCTACCTCAATATGCGTGCCATTAGCGGCTTTGAAAACTATACAAAAAATAGGCCAGGACATCTAAATTATACCTGCAAAATATGAACTTCCAAGAAAAATAGAAAAATTAAAAAAACAATATTTTGAATAAACTTATTTTTTTTTTTAAATACCCATATGGAAAAAAACAAAATAAAGGAAACCCAGTCTCGATTTGATTAAAACTCTGGGGTACACCTCTCCTTACACCAAGCAAAAAGAATGTACAAAAACATGTTGCATCATTTGCTTGGCACAAAAGTTCTGAGCGGTCAAAGTGGCGGTGGCGAGGTGTCTTGACTCCAGTGTTTTTCGCTTCACCCCGCCAACATTTCTTTTTAGGTATTTCT